CTCTTCAGTTGTCTAGAAGCATAAGCCACTACCTTTTTATCCTGCATCAGAACACACCCTAACCCCTGATTGGATGCATCACAGAAAACCTCAAATGGTTTGCTTGAATCAGGAATAGTTAGTATGGGCGAGCTGGTCAACCTTTGTTTGAGTTCTAGAAAACTCTTCTCACACTGATCTGTCCAAACAAAGGGGTGGTCCTTCCTTGTTAACCGGGTTAGAGGAGCTACCACTTTGGAAAAACCTTTAATGAACCTCCTATAATAGCCGGTCAATCCCACAAAACTTCTAACCTCGGACACTGACTTGGGGCGTTCCCAGTCCAGAACTGCTTCTACCTTGGCAGGATCCACTCTATCCCTTGAGCAGACACCACATGCCCCAAGAATTTGATGTCTTCCATCCAAAACTCACACTTAGATAGCTTAGCATACAACTGTCTCTCCCTCAAGATCTCCAACACTACTCTCAAATGATGCTCATGCTCTTCATGCGAGCGTGAGTAGATAAGTATGTCATCAATAAAGACGACAACAAACTTGTCCAAAAAGGGATGGAAGATCCTATTTATGTAGTCCATGAAGATGGCTGGCGCATTCGTCACTCCAAATGGCATGACCACGAACTCAAAGTAGTCATATCTGGACCTAAAGGCAGTTTTTGAAATATCTCCCTCTTTCACCAGAATCTGATGATACCCCGACCTCAGGTCGATCTTAGAGAATACTACTGCACCGTGCAACTGATCCAATAGGTCATCTATCCGGGGGAGGGGATATTTATTCTTGACTGTAAGCTTGTTCAACTGCCTATAGTCAATGCACAGTCTGTAGCCCCCATCTTTCTTCTTAACAAGCAGCACTGGTGCTCCCCAAGGGGACACACTAGGTCTGATCAATTTCTTGTCCAACAGCCCCTCAATCTGCATCTTTAGCTCAGCCAATTCATTTGGAGTCATCCTGTAAGGCGCCATAGACACTGGCCCTGCTCCAGGTATAAGGTCTATGGAGAACTCGACCTCCCTCCTAGGAGGTAACCCCGACACTTCATCTGGGAATACATCAGCGTATTCATTCACTACTGGAACTTCTGATCTAACATCTTCGCTTGGTTGTCCCATATGAGTTAGGATAACATAACATTGGGCTCCCTCTTGGATCTCCTTTAAAGCTTGGGAGATGGACAACATCTCAAATTCCTCCGACTCGGGAAACAACAGTCTCTTCTGCCCACAGTCAATCAAAATCTTATTTTGGACTAGCCAGTCCATACCTAGGATCACATCTAGGTCTTTGAGGGGCAAGCAGATCAAATTCGCTTTGAATCTGCGACCTTCTACCACTAAGGGGCATCCACAACAAACTTTGGATGCAACCACCAGATCAGTTGCTGGAGTAGACACGAACAACTCACAGGTAAGGTCCCTAACAGACAAACCTAGTCTCTCAATACAATCAAGTGACACAAAGGAGTGTGTCGCTCCAGAATCATACAAAACTTTCAGTCTGTGACCAAAGAGGAAACACGAACCTTGGACTAGATCACTGGACTTCTCTGCTTTTGCTCCCTTGATGGTGAAGACCCTGCCGGCTGCTCTCGGTATGATCTCCGTTCTCTGACCCCCAGTCGGCTGGCTCCCAGATGGAGTTACAGACAAATCCTCTCTACAGTCTCTGGCAAAATGCTCAAACTTCTGGCACCTGTAGCATCTAATAGGAACTCGGATCTGCTGATGATGGAAGGAAGGTGAGCTCCTCCCTCTAAACTGGCTGCCCCCATGTGACTGGTGAGAAGTAGGAGCAAATTCCCTCCTGGGAAAAGGGCGAGTATACGGGGTCCTTCTTTCCGGCCTCCTACTGCCGGGATGAGACCCAACTCTACTAGAAGACTCCACTCTGCTACTTGAGGGTCCAGATACCGATGGCACAACTGACTTGACTCTACCTGCCACCAGTCTCTCTGCAGTCTTAGCCCTCTCAACCAGAACAGGAAAATCAGCCACAAACATCGGCACCACAAACTCCTTTAGTTCCTGTCTCAGACCCTCCTCAAATTTGCTGCATAGCCATGCCTCAGTGCTCGATTGAGAATATTATCTAGCCAGGTGCTCAAATCTGGTAGCATACTCATGCACTGATAGATCTCCCTGCTCTAGCTTCAGAAATTCCGCCTCCATAGCAAATCGTGCACTGCGTGGGAAATAATTTCCCATGAACTTCTCTCTGAAGCTTTCCCAACCGATAGCTTCGTCTCTGGCAATCATTAGCCTCTTGGTTCCTTTCCACCAAAATTCAGCCTCCCCTGCTAATAGATATACAGCAAAAGTAACCTTCTTATCCTCAGGGAACTCCATAACATCAAAAATCTTCTCTATCCCTTCCATCCACATATCTGCCTGATCTGGGGTAGAATCTCCTGAAAATTTAGGCGGCTCGTGCTTCAAAAAACCAGTTAATACTGCTTGCCCTTGTGGCTGACTGGAGGAGGAAGCTGGAGTGGGGTTAGAAGTTGTTGCTGCTACTGCAGCTGCTGCCGCTGCAGTGGCCTCCCTTGATGCTTGCAATTCTTGCATAGCAGCCTGGTGCTGCTGTGCCATTACTACTCCTTGTTGTTGCATGGTAGCGGCCATTACTTCAATGGCTCTTAGTATTTGACTCACCTCAGACTGGGGCTGAGGCTGAGGCTGGGGAGGTGGTCTAGGAGCCATCCTAGACATAAGAAGAAATAAAAAATTATAATTCTATAATATACTATAATTATTTTAAGTCTACACACAGTTAGCATAGCAGGTCCATAACCCTAAGGTTTCCTAGAAATTACCGCTCTGATACCAATTTGTAACAACCCGTAAATTCTACTTAAAATTTTTCAATAAATGAAGGAAAAAAATAACTTTTTCACCTAAGAGAGGTATAATAGTTCAGTTTACATATCCAGAATAGTTGAAAAGAAGAAAAGAAAAGAAAACATCACACATCAAAAGTCCTAATTACACAAATGTTTTACACCTAATTACACAACACAAAATAACTCTTTCAAATTTAGGAGGTCTCTACTCCATTTCTCAAATCACTGGGTCTTACTACCACCTGTAGAAGATTTGGAATCTGCTCACGTGTATAACACGATCATAGCAGGATCCCAAAAGATCAAGCACGCAACAAAAGCAAGGGTAAGCTACCATTTGATTAAATATGTAGAATATTGTAACATTGCAAACAACACTTATTAATTCACAAACATCCTAAAACTAGACTCACCGGAGAGTCTAGCATTTTACAATCACAACACACAACAAGACTGACGCTTTCCGGAAAACTATATGGAATTCAGACCAGTAAGGTAGACACCTGATGAGGAATATTTGGGGTCCGAGACCCTTAAAATTTCATGGCCCCAAGCCTATAATATCATTTTTTTTTTCCAACCTCTCATCAGAGCAACACATGCATAGGATTAACACTATGCTGTGTCTCCATCGACTTCCCACCACAGATGTCTTCGTCTATATGACTAGGAACATCTTGGAAGTCTGGATACCCTATTACGTCTATCCATAATTCCATACACATTATTCTATACAGTACATCAAATCTATCATTTAACAACTATTTCATACACACTATTCTACTCAGGGTTTCTAGAATCAAACCAACATCATGCAGTTCAAAATGTACAGTCCAACATTTAAATTCTCAACTACTATGCAATCATAATTCACTTAAAACGGTACATCATTTTTCCTTCAAACCACACAAACCAACCATACAATTTAGAAATTCAATGATATAAAGATATCTATTTCAAAATAATTTACACTGTAAGATTTACACAATGCTCACAATACCATATCACATATAGCACGTATATATATCACAAACATACTCTCATATCACATATAGCACGTATATATATCACAATCATACTCTCATATCACATATAGCACGTATATATATCACAAACATACTCTCATATTACATATAACACGTATATATATCACAATCATACTCTCATATCACATATAGCACGTATATATATCACAATCATACTCTCATATCACATATAGCACGTATATATATCACAAACATACTCATCATTCACTTTATTAAACTTTTCATCAATACAATACAACCAATAAAAATTAAAGAAGTCTCCTTTACCTGAAGGTGATGTTACACGTCAACCTAATTCCAATAAAACCTTAGGAATGCCAAAACACCTAATTTGTACCGTTCTTCCCCAATTTGGAAAACCCTAAAACGAAATTGAAGTAATAAACAAAATTAAACCCGAAAACATGAAATTGGGGAGTGATAGAGTAAGAGGAAACATTTAATTCCATAATTAATTCCTTAAATTCTCAAAACCCCAAATTTTAACTAGCAAAAACCCTAAAATTCAAACTTACTGGAACGAAATTCTAATCGGTGGGTCTTCTGCTATTCTCCGCCGTGAGCATAACGCTGGTCTCAGATTCTTGATCGGAGAAGAAGAAATTCTTGATCTGTAGGAGAGAAGGTAGAGCTGAGTTATGGAGATAGGGGATATGTTTGTACGAAGAAGAAGAAAATCAGATTTTCTCTCTCTTTTTCTTTTTGTTTTTCTTTTAATTACAGTATATTATACAATTAATTGTATTTTTTTTTTTACTGATGACAAATCTTTATTTTGATAATATATATATATATATATATATATATATATATATATATATATATATATATATATGTTGTATAATATATAATATGTTACTTACTCTCCAAGATTATTGGTCAACACTTTGTTATAAAAAAAATTGCAACCTTAACTATGATTCTCACTGTGGCTGTTCCCTCCCAAGATTTGGATTTGTTGTTCTTCCTCTTTTCATACATTCAAAGGTAAATTTTTGTGATTTCTTCAACTTTTGTGTTCTGAAGGATGAAGTTTTTACTAATTTTTCTATATTATTTTACAGATCATTGTTGCAGTCCACATAAATTTTTTCAGACTCTTGAAACATGGTAATTTTTTTTTTTTTCAGACTCTGTTTTAGGGTGCAATGAGAAGTTATATATTTACTTTTATGCTTCTTTGGACATTTTTAATAATATAATTTTGATTCCTATATTGACATTTTCGATGAACAATGTGTTTTAGGGTTTTTTAATCCTTTGACCTGCTATTACTTCAAAAAATATCTATAAATATTTAATATTTAAATAAAAATGAATTTAATAAATATGATTGTGTTATTATTATAAATCAATATATTGTTTATTGATTTATTAAATATATGTTTAAATAAAATACTGAATATGAATACATAAACTAAGTATTACAGTTTTTTTAAACGCGCATTGGCAAATATTATAGCATATTTCTACCTACTTTACATATTTATGCATTGATATTTTTTTAGGGTTTTTAAAAAAATTTATGCCCTATCTGTTTTGACAAATTTCGATATTAACTTTTTTTTTTTTTTTCAAAGGAGAATGAATCAAATAACTTGGACCAACAGGAATCAAGTAACTGGGAATCAGATAACTGGAGTATACAAGAAGAATCAAATGATTGGGAATCGAATGAGCATGAATATCAACAAAATAACTGGGAACCGAATGAGCATGAACAAGAAGAGAATAACTCGGAAGCAAATGAAGAACAATCCCATAATTGGGAATCAGAAAGCTGGAATGAATCAGAAAATTGGAACGAGTATGAATACAATAACTGGGATGAGCAGGAACAAGATTACAATGAATGGGATGGTACCTTCAAAGATGTTTACCGTTGCTACCCTCTCTCTGCTATTGATAAGGTACTATGTCCCTAATGTTTTATATTTTACTTTATTCCCAATTTTTCAAAGATTGATACTGATTCTTGATGTTTTGCAGATAAATCTTGAAAATGGTGGTAAAAGTATGTACGCCAACAACTTACGCTTTATCCTTTGATAATTATGCTTGTTTTCATGTTTATAAAATTGCTGCTAATATAAACTTTTTGGCAGTTATCATGCCCCCTTCAGCTCTGAGTCTACTAAGTAAGTTTATGCTTGTATATAAATTTGATTTGATTCAACAATTCGATTCATTCATCTCACTTGAAAGTATATATTTCAGTGTATTTGGAGATAGAGTATCCTATGTTATTTGAGCTGACAAATCCCTCTACTGAGAAAGTTACTCACTGTGGAGTTCAAGAATTCACTGCTGATGAGGGGAACATGTATATGCCCAAATGGGTATGTGATTTGATCTTCATCTTTCTTTATTTCGTTTGATGGATTAGTCAGTTTTATTTACAATTTTATCTTTTGTGTTAATTCTTGACAGATGATGGAAAACATGAACCTAGAAGAGGGAAGCAATGTGAATGTGAGAAGCATCCAACTTCCAACAGGAACATTTGTGAAGTTGCAACCTCACACTAAAGACTTCTTGGAAATGTCCAATCCAAAAGCTGTGTATGAATTGTCACCATATAATCTTTCACAAATCTCATAATTGTGTGTCAACTAATATTTTCTCAATCTTTTTTAACTTCAGTTTGGAGTATTCACTAAGGAAACATTCTTGCTTAACAACCAGTGACACTATTATGATTGCTTATAACAACAAGCAATATTATATTGACATTGTTGAAACGAAACCTTTCCATGGCATTAGTATTGTTGACACAGATTGTGAGGTTGATTTTGTTCAACCTCTTGATTATGAGGAACCTGAGAAACAACTACCAGCTGATTCATTTGATAAGGGACATTCAGAGGGTTGTGATTTTAAGTATGCTTGTTTTTTAGCCAGTATAAATTTATTTATAGATTCTGATTATATTGTTTTGTATGTTTCAGTTCATGATTCTATAATGAAGAATAGCAAGATCATTCCATTCAGTGGTACTGGAAGACGTTTGGATGGTAAACCTACACAATCAATGGAAGAAAGTTCATTTTCGTTGCCAAAGCAGCAACAGAAGGAACATGAAACCAAGAATTCTATTTCTGAAACATCACGTAGAACTCCTGGAAAGGTTGTTTTTGGGTCAAGTGTGAATGCATCCAAGACTCAGACAACTCCAAAGGTGAGTTTTGCTAGTAGTAATTTGTGTGATATAACGTTTTCTTCTTTCAACCTCAATCTCTATTATTCATTGATATAATTTATTAAATTCTATTAGGCTTCTCAGAAAAGCATAACTGAAGCATAACTGAAGAGTCTTCTCAGAAGAAAGAGAAACCAAAACTTCAAGCTTTCACCGGAAAGAAGTACTCATTGATGTATTAATTTTGTTGGGTTACTTTCTTAGTTTGGTTTTGTCCCCTACATCTTCGTTCAAACATCACATCACACTCTTGAATTATTGTTATTTGTCTTTTTGAATGTCATATATATTCAATAGTTTACTGTTTTTTTATTTCCAAATATTATACTCATAACTCCTTATATCCTGAAAACAAAACGAAATCTTGGTCTATTAACGAAAATATATTTTTTCTTAATATTCATTTGAAACAATTTTTTTTCTCATGTGAATTCTTTCAATTTCTTATTCCAATTATGTATTTTTTTTCTAACTTAAATAAGTGAAAAATTAACTTCTGAAGTTTAAGTAAAAAAATGAAAAAAATATAATTTTTCTATAAACTCTATAATTTGTAAAAAAAATTATTATGATATAGAATTGATGTTGAGTTTACTAAAGAAGAAAAAAAATTCTTCTATATCTTATAATTTTCTTTTTTTCCTGATGTATCTCTTCCACGTTAAAAAAAGTTTAAAATGATAGTTTACATGAAATATTGATATTTGAAATTTTCTTGAATAATATTAAATAAAAAAGTATTCTAAAATAATTCACAAAATTTGAGCAACTATTTTTCTTACATAACTCATTAAAATGTTTCAAAATATATCTATAAAACCTTCTTACTACAATCTATAAATAAACGAGTCAATTAATCTCAATAAATACGAGTTTACATTTTACCACATATATAATTTATTTCTTTGTTCTAAGTTATTATTCTATAATTAATCTCAATAAATACGATTTTGCATTTTATCACATGTATAATTTATTTCTTTGTTCTAAGTTGTTATTCTATTTTTTATAATTAATAACTTATTTTTATTTATTATCTAGAAAATTTAAGTGATACAATAAAAGTTTTTTCTATTATCTATAATTTCATTCGACTCGTTGGTCAGAATAAATTATTAGTTTTGTTTATAAAAAATTTGGATTTGGTGAAAATGATTAAATTATATTGAGAATTGTTTTTATTTTTCAAGTTATTTTAGATCCAATTATTCTAGATATAATTTTAAAATATTTGATTCTCCTTTATAAAAAATTTGAATTTGGGCAAAATATTAAATTATATCCAGTCTTTTTTACGTTTTCAAATTATTTTAGATACAATTAATTTATATATAATTTTAAAATATTTTATTTAAATAGTGTATGACCATCACTTGTAATCATTTTTTATTTAAGGGATGAGATAAAATAACCGAATTACTTATCCGATTTTAATTTAAAGGATAAGAAAAGATAATTTTTTTTTTCCTTTTAAACCCTTTAAATTAAAAAGGGGTTCCCACCTTGGATAGAAAACTGTTGAAGTGACCCACTCAATCTTAATGAAGAAATTTTGAGGATTAATGATTAGAACATGCAAACTAAATATATTTTTCTTAAAAAAAGTAATATCCTATTCATTTACGTATAGGATCATGGTATATATAATAAAATGCGAGCGCATCATATCCAAATTTTCACAATAGGAATAGGAAAATCCCTATTTGAGGTTTACTGGTTATACTTCCTCGTACTTTGAAGCAGTTGTTAAAATATTACATGAAGTGAAATAAGTTTTAGCGGAACTTTCAACTATTCTTGTTTTATCAAAGGTTTTGAATTGGCACGGGATACTATTTTGCCTGAAAATAACTTTTTTTTTTTTTTTTGTAATTCTATACTGTCTAATAAAAAAAATAAAAATATTTTTATTTATGTGTAAAATATATATATATATATATATATATATATATATTAGATTTAAATAGTTTCTCTTGATATAATATAATACAAAATAAACTAAGATATATACTATTTTACTTTATTTTCAATACCCAATAAAATTTGATTATTATGATTATAACTTTTTTTTCATATTTCTCTTTTATTGAATAGATAGTTTTTTATTATATAAATTTTTACTTTTATAAAAAAGTGGATTTAATTCTAAATAAATATAAAAAAAATTACATATGAAAAGTTAGATTCTCTGTCTTTTCTTAAAACTTTTTAAATGAGGTTTTCTATTTCTTTGATGTATTAGTATGGACCAAATTTAACCATCATAATTGATTTTATTGGAAGATGGTGTGGATCTCTAGTTTGTTACAAAAATACCTTAGACAATAAAAGTTTACTTTAATATCATAGTGGATATAAATGAGGTCGAACATTTTTGTTCTAGATGGAATATTTATTTCCAGTGAGATTGACAATAGAGTCTCGTTTTACTTATATCCTTTAATCTTTGACTGGGTTTGAGGGTCTGTGTTCCTGTACATTTATGAATCTCACATCACTTAGGAGTATAGATCAAAAGTAATTTATATATACCCTTCTCTCTTAACCTATTGATATGTCTTTTAAGGATAAAATCATGATGGTTTGAATATGAGAATTGACTCTAACGATATTATCATAATAAAGATGAAGTTAAGACATCTAGTGAACATTCATCAATAATATATAGTTTTATAAATAAATAATTATATTTTAAATTAATATATACATTAAGTTTTTATGTTAATCTATATTTATATATAAAAGAATTTTTTTACGATAATTTATAATATATTATTATTGTTCCGGTACACTAATAAGTTTTACATCACTTAAGAGTTAAGATTAAGACTTTTTCCTCTCTCAACCCACAAGACACCTTCTAAAATCAAATTTATGACCAACAAAAGCTTTAAAACGAATAATACCTCGGATATAAGAATTGACCCGATATTATTATAGTGGACATGAGAGTTCGAAACACTCTTATTCCTAAATGATACATTTATTATTATTATCAAACATACAAATGAAAATAAAAATAAAAATATATAATACGTGGAATAAGAATATAAAATATATTTAAAAAAAATAGGGAAACTAAATAATCAAACATAAAAAAAAAATATGTAATACTTGGAGTGAAATAAGAATATAAAATATATTTAAAAAAAATAGAGAGACTAAATAAAAAAATATTTTGAAAATTAATAGTATAAAAAATATTACATTCATGGTATACTCTAAGTATTCGAGTTTGATTAATTAAAATATGTTCACCACATTATCTTAAGTTTATTTGTCTTAAATAATTTATAATTTTAACAGCAAATATTTATATTTTAAAATTAATATTAACTTTAATCAAATTAAAATTAAAACATAATAAAAATATAAACATACAAATACATGTATCCTGTCTTCATTTATGTATAGAAAAAGAAATTTCCCTCCTTCTAATTATTTTTAATGTTATTGAAGCGCTAGAAAAAAAATATTATATATAATAAGGGAATATATATATATATATATATATATATATATATATATATATATATATATATATATATATAAAGAGTTGAAAGAAAAATAAATATAAAAATGCTAGAGGAAAAAATACTGTAAAAATTACATAAAAAGAAGGCCAGATAAATTTAAAGAATATAGGAAAAGAATTAAAAATAAAAAAAGTATATTTAAAAAATAATTATACAATAAATATGAACATGTGTTTTAATATTTCTATTTCTGTTAATAATATATAAAAGAAAATTTTTCTCTTTTGCACGATTTCTTTCATATTTTTTCATATAAATGAAATAAATAAAAATAATTAAAAAAATATTTTTTTTACAAATTTTTTTAAAGTTCTCTTATATTTTATGATTTTTCATATAATAATATTTATATTTTAAAATTAATATATAAAATAGAGTATAATTTATTGAAATAAAAATTATAATAAAATAAACAGTCACACAGTATATTTTCTGATAATAAGAAAAAAGTTGTAAAAACAGTTGTTTTTTATTTTTTATAATGTCAGTGTTCTAATTATTTAATTAATGTTTCTTTATTAATTGACATTAATAATATTGACTGTAACAGATATAAGCCAAAATTGTTTAAAAGCTGAAAACAAATATTAAGCCAAAATAAAAAATAAAAAATTGGCAGGTCATATATATGCGACAGATCTGATGAATATTATTATTAAACCTGTCACTGTCGTCGTTTCTTCTTACAGCCCAGAGAAACTGCTGGCGCATGTTAGTACCACCACCTGGTATCGTGCGCCGTCTCTCTCTCTCTCTCTCTCTCTCTCTTTCTTTTCCATGAAGAACCATTGCTTACATGGGAACCAAATCGCTGAAGCGGAGACTCCGTGAGTCGCAGAACCCTCCCATGGCCGCCGCGGCTACTCCGTGGCGCAAGCCTCGGTCCTACGCCACGCCTTCTGTGCTTCTCACAGCTTTCCTCACTGTCTCCGTTATCTCTCTCTTGGTCCTTTCTTCGAACAAGTGGCGCGCATTCCAAAGCGGGTCTTCATATGAAACAGTTACTGTCGTCAACGTGTTCCCTCATGATCCGCAGGCCTTCACCCAGGTCAACCTTTTTATTTATTATTTTTCGTTGTTTAATGTACAATTTGATGACTTGTGTGTTTATCTATAAAAATTAGTTATTTGAGAGATGAATTTGATACTCTATACTGATGAGCTTAATTTTGTTACATTGACTTGACTGTGTAAAAATTGTTATAGTGTTTTATCAATTAGAGATTATGATCAAGGTTTTTAAAACATTCCGCTACTATTAGGATTGAATTGCAAGGTATGGGACTTTAGTGCCACATTGTAATTGTAAGTTTAAGTGTTGGGTTTATAAGGCCTTGGGTTTTCTGACTATAACAACTAGTTGTATGGGACTTGATCGCATTTGTCTGTAATATTTGGTGATATCAAGAAATTTGACTAAACCTTGCTCTATATATAACTTTTGCAGCATTGTTATATAAGTCAACAATTTTATTATGCATGGTAATCTATGATGGAATGTCAGTATAAAGATTAAAGTTGTATATGGACCAATTGTGTACCTGTGCTCTTGACAATTGATCCTATGGATACTAGTAATATATTGTTAGATTTTATTAAGAATTTCAGTGAGCTGCACTGGAAACACTTTCTTATAAAATTTCTGTCAATGCCAGCACTTTGTTAACATTCTGCATTGTATAAACTGTCTCTGTTTTCGTTTTTATTATGGACTTCTCATATTTGTGCTTATAATGTGTTTGTGGAATCGTGGTTGTGCTTTTTCTGAATGGGCTTGACGATTATTTTTCAGCTACTGTTTGACATGGGTATGTGTTTCATTTCATTTTATATATTTAGTTTTGTTTATCTTTTTTGGATGTTTTATATTTTTTTTTTCTTGGAAGAGAGAGCTGAAGCGTGTAAGAGATTAGACAGATAATTTGATGAAGTGCTACTGCTAGGTGCTTGATGGTTGATGCAGAGTTAATCAAAACATTAAATGCTATTAGTCTCACTTTTTTCTTTTTCTGATTAAATATGATGTGATGTGCTAGCCTGGGTCTTCGATAAAATGTGAGAGGGAAATACAAGTACCCTTGCCTCAATTTTTCTCTTATGTATTTTATTTTCAAATGGTGATTTCTCTGGCAGCTAGCTAATTTGGGGTGCGAATGCAATAAGAAACCTATAATTGAGACAAGTAGGAAATATGATGGAAAAGAATGAGCTCTTGGCTAAATATCATTTTGTGAAAATCATGTATTTGTTCTATGAAGGATTTCAAAAAGAAGCCGTTACCAGGACTTTTGAAGGGATTATTTAACCCAAGATCCTTAAAGAGATACTTTTAAGTCTAGCGGGTTTCCAGTTGAATTTGAAAGAAACTGGTGGCTTCTACACAAAATGAATATAAAAAATTATATAAAAGCAAGACTAAATTCGGTGTTGGATGCAAGAACATAACATCATTGGATGCTCCAGCATAAGTAGCATATAGTCATCCTGGTAATTGTGAATATTGACATTTATGCTGGAGAGTTTGTGACATTATTAGTTAAAGTATGCACTGCTTTGATAATAAGCTGCAGGATGTTCATTTGTTGCTTATGGAAAATAAAGATGGATTTCTCATGTTGTGATTTCAGGGGCTTGTTTATCATAAAAATGACATCTTATTTGAGTCAACCGGTCTTTATGGGAAGGTATTACTCATCTTTCCATCCTATTCCAATTTCTTTTTCTCTGTTTTCTTGAATGATTTTTCATTTTTCATTTGCTTTTTGCCTTACATTTTTCCTCTTTACATTTGTAGTGGATGAGAAATTGTGTATTTTTTATAGTAAATCAGTCACCTGCCATCATTTACCTCAATTTGTTCAACAGATGTTTATAAAATTTATTCGTGGGTTAATCTTGGTGCACTGCTATAGATTGCTGCCTTTGTAACCAGGTGGTCTTTGTTTTCCGCAGAAGAAATAAAATTCTTGCTGTTGGAACAAGGGTTTGCACATCTGATCTCACTATACCCTACACTGATAGGAACCCTTTAATGATCATAGGATTTGGTTGGGAATGGATAATGTTGTTATTAATTGAACATGTGACCCTCCTGTATGCATGTTAGAGAGGTTAGAGAACTAGAGTCTCTCTTTTGCTTTAGTAATTTGGTCATCTTTCTTCAGTTTCTGATAAAAGAATTAGGACTCTTTAAATGTTTGATCATGTGAGTCTTATTTTTAGTTACTCATCCCCCTAGTAGATTGTAGAGGCATATTTGGTGTTTCTCATTTATTATAAACCCATCTGGAAATCCATGGCTCCCCAGGGTCAATTGACTTCTGGGTCTTTGTTCTTAACAAGACTAACACTAATGACTTGCTACTGAAGCACAGACCTCAGTGGATGTTGTGTTCCCAGCATTAGAACTCAGATAATAGTAGTACAGTACAGTTGTCATCTATTAGATAAGACCAATATGTGTTCAAGTTCTATTTATTGTAAAATTTATATAAATCATGATTAGTTTTATTTTGTAATCACATTCTAATCCTTGTTTTCCTGGACATACAACTAATATTATATAAATCATGATTAGGTTTATTTTGTAATCACATTCTAATCCTTGTTATCCTAGACATACAACTAATATTGTTTTTAATGTGAAATATTGCAATTAACCTTTTAATTATTTTTTGTTTCAGTCATCTATCCGTAAAGTCGCTCTTCAAACTGGGAAGGTACAGATTGATCCATCTTTTGAACTCTTTGATGTACTTGTCCTAATGCCTAGTTAATTTAGATTTACATTTTTATGAATAACAACGGGTTAAAGACAGGCTATGTAGTTGATTCATTTATGGAGACAAGTTCTTATGAGTGTGTTACATGTCATTTCAAGCTGAGAGAATAGTTGACAATAATCAATTTAATACTGAATAGAATTTTCTACATTATGAACAATTTAGGCAAGCAAATCAGGTAATGGTCATTGTCAGGCTGCTTGTTGCAGTTGGCTGGTTCATGTAAATAACATTGATTTCAGTAATGGATTTTCTCAGTGTTGTTTCTGGATATAATTAATAGACTTCCCAATTTTCCATTCTTTTTTGGGACACACAATGTATGTTTCACTGAAATAATGCGGAATTTCAGTGAACTATTATTGCCACACCCATTTTTTAATGTGAGAACTATTTTGGATGGAATGCAGTTGCAAGAAATATTGCACTTGTTTATAACTTACAAAGAAAAGGATAAACACATACTTTAGTAATTTACCTGTCGGTTTGGATGTACGTGGTCATTATGTTATGTGGATAAGGTACCTTACTAGAGTTATGAGGGATTAATTAAAGGAATACAAAGATATGCATGAGTTGACTTCAGAGCAGATGGCAATATCTGTGGATCTTAGGTTTAAAAACTGTAGTGTGCCTGTGATGGAAGAAACAGAATTGTGGTGATGACAGATACTTGCCTTTCTGCTAAAGAAAGGATCTTTGGCAGGATAAAAATATATATGTTATTGTTCATATCAATGTAGCATGCACCTTATGTTTCATTGAGTATTTGACGTTATAGAAGACATTCTAAATTTTGTATATTTACATTTGTGCTAAATACAGGTTGAGGATGTGCAGAAGATGGATGGTTCTTTGTTTGGGGAAGGTTTAACCCTCCTCAATGACAGGTGTGAAAGACAAATTATGTCACATGTTACTTTCTTTTTATGTATATTACTAAACTTACAATGGTTCTGTTGCCAGTTAATTAGGAGATGGAAAAGAAAGAGACGGAAACATGTCCACATATTTTAAGAATTGTTTTTGGGTGCATATAATCTTGATATTAGGAAACTAGAACTTTATCTTTAATCTTTTGGCATTTCCTTCTACCTTTTAAATAGCTTCATTGCATAAGGAAAAAGAAAATTTTGAATTGAGACATTTTGGGAAGCATATTATTGAATCGTGTTGAAATTAAGTGCTGAAAAATACAGTTTCTATTCCTTGCTACTAAATGTCAAAAGTTCATGACATTCTTCTCATTGTCACTGGGCCCTGCAGGAGTAAAAGAGAATGTTGTTGTGCTTTGCTTTCACGAAATGATTTAAGTGACTTTCATGTTGTTATCTTTTAGTTTCTACCAACTTAAGTAATCACCAATACTTCTTAAACACCAAATATTATGTTATAGACACAAAAACTGCATGATGACTACCAAGTTTTCTCATTTTTGCAATGTTGCAATTTTTTCTCATTACGTGTAGATGTTGTAGGGGATTTTGCTTTAATTCTATCTATATATAATGTATTCATTTTGGCTTTAACTTTTGTAATTGAGACATTATTCATTAAGTTAATTTCACTCTGACATTTGATGTATGGATTAATTCTAACTCCCTTTTCCTTTGCACTTTGTTTAGGCTGTTCCAAGTAACATGGTTGCAGAAAGCTGGTTTCATATATAACCTGAAAAATCTAAGCAAAGTTTGTTGCTTTACCTTCCCCGTCTTGTAATCTTTTGTCTGTCTGGTTATTTGAATAATTCCTACTGTTTTGATTCAACGAGACTCTATGAAGGAAAATGGCACCATAATCAAACTATTGGAGATATACAAATTGAAATAACTCTTTTCTATTCTGCTTTATTTTATAAAAATCTTCTCAAAGTTTATACATTATAATATGACATGTCATAATGATTTTAAATTTATTGCTATCTTAAACTAGTTTGCTTCTTGGCTGCTACAGTTTGAGAATTTTTACACGATGAAGGTAGAAGTAAAAGTTTTATTGCATGGTAATATAAGTCATTTCAGCTGACCATATCTGATTAAAAATTATCTGTTGTAGACATATATGTTATAAATTGGCGGGTTGCTGTCAATAAAAAAATAGAGTTTTCGTACATGCAAGCTGGTTGGGTAATCTAAGGACTGTGTTATACTAGATTTGGTCCAAGGTGTTGTTTAAATGGAATGGCTTTGCGGATACAATCTTGTTTGTGTTTTTTTTTTTTGGTTCATAAACTGTCCTGAGATGCTTTCAGTGATGGGTGAATGCCCCAAAGTTGCTGTTAATATAGCTAGCCAGAACTCAAATAGCTCAGTTTTACAAATTCTGTAGATAGGGACATTTAATCATGATATGAAAGATGGCTGGGGTTTGGCAACTGATGGAACATTCTTGTTTGGAAGTGATGGAAGTTCAACATTGTATCAAATTGATCCTCAAACGTTTAAAGGTTTGTCTGTCCAATGAAGTTATATTCCTTTGCTCTCTCCATTTATGTGCAAAACACCTTTCCCGATCCTTTTTGTGTCCAGCTTTCAAACGTGACAATTTTTTTCTTTGCTTTACATATTCATGGAACTTACGTTGCCCTCTTTTCTGCAGCTGTATCAAAACAAGTCGTTTACTATAAGAGTCATGAAGTACACAATCTCAATGAATTGGAATACATAAATGGTGAAATTTGGGCAAATGTTTTTATGGTATGTCCTTGTGTGATCGATTATGATTTAGTTGGAGAACATATATCTCTTTTTCCACTAAATTTCTAACCTTAGTCATGTATGCATGATGTGTATGGCCAAGGTTTTCTCTGGTTGACTGAATTTTGTCTTGAGGTTGATATTTCTTTCTGTAGACTGACTGCATTGTAAGAATCTCCCCCGATGATGGCAGGGTTCTTGGATGGATTCTTCTCCAAAATTTAAGGTGTGATTTCTTTTCCTTCTAATTATGAAAACTAGTTTCTTAGTGCTAATGATATAATAAATGAATTAAATCCCAAGTTAGTTCTCAAAGATTTAGCAGACATCAATTTGGTGCTAGTAATTGGGTAACTTTTGGATTATTTTTATGCCAAAAGGTTATCATCTAAGGGTCACATTGATTAATAATCTTTTTCGGGGAGCAAATTGAAGGTGTACTCTAATAATTATCTTTGTCCATTTGTTACTTAAAGTTACATTTAATCTAATATCATATGCAGGAAGGAACTTATGGAAGCTGGGAATAATGTAAGGAGCCTGAACCTTTTAATATCAGGAGATAAGATTTTTATACTGTTTCTCAGTGTGTGTGTGTGTGTGTATATATATATAGGCTACTATTTAAGATCAGGATGATGTATATATCTCTTAAATTTTAGGATATTGATGTTTTGAATGGGATAGCCTGGGATGGTGAACAAAAGCGTATTTTTGGTAAGTTTTGCACTTCTAGTTAATTAAATTGTCAATTTGAAATCTCTTATCCCTGCATACTATTTCCATTTCACCCATCCGAGACTTTTTCCTTTTTAATTATTATTACTATTAGGCATGGCATATGATAAAACGGAAGTGATTTTACCGCAAAATCCAACTATTAGTAGCGTGTTTGGATTTCAATTAAAAAAAGTTCCAAACCATGGTTATGTAATCTTTTGTCAACTGAAAGAAGCTAGCTAACGCTTTTTTATACACATTCTTTGTTATTAGCTGGAAGGGTTTAATATATTTTAGTTCTAAAATATTTAAAGTTCAGTTTTAATCCTCTTGTTTGTTGTCTGTTTTTTATACACATGCTTTGAAAGGGTATAATATATTGTTAGTTCCTCTAAAATTACCGAAGTACAGCTTTAATCCCTTTATATTCTATTCTATTTTTTCCTTCTTATTTTGAAACACACCCCTTTTAGTTTTCCAAACATTATCTATAGAATTGTTCTCCTTTGTAAAGAGTCCTCTAAACCATTTAGAGGACTAAAAGTGATATATTTTTAAATTAGAGGAACCAAGAATGAGCAAAATTTTTTGAAGAAACTTAGATATTTCTTGCGTGTGAAAGTGATATATTTTATAAAATCTCATCTGAACCACTTGAAGGACTATAAGTTTTTAGGGTAAAATTAATATAAAATACTCATTCTAAAGAAATCAATAAATATTTATCTTAACATTTTGTATCTATTTATAGAAAATTATTTTTTTCATTAGATGAATATTTGTTTTCCATTAGATTTTTTAATAACAATATCCTCTCCATTAATTTAATAATTTAAAATTTATATTTGTAAATCTTTTTTAAATTTAATTTTACGTTGCAACACAACTGATGTTCGAGTTAATAGGTCAAATTCTATTTTCCTTTCCATCTAAGAATCGTCTAGTACGCATCAATCAATTACTGTCAATGTTCTCGCCTTTTCCCTTTTTTCATTTACATCTCAAATAAGTTTATGAAACATATTCTTTGCTTGCAGTGACTGGAAAGCTGTGGCCAAAGCTGTATGAAATCAAGGTTTCTCCTCTAAAGAAACCAATTGAAGAAGGGTTCATTGAGAAAGTTTGCCTGCGTAGGCCTTTCAAATTTCCATGATGTTCTGCTCTACCTTTAGAAATATACTTGGGAGAAGGCGCTGGCTGAACTGAGTTACATTAACATTTTCAATTCAGTTGGAAGAATGCGACCTCCTTCATTACCCTTTATAGTATCATTCTTCTGTAGCAGGTCAAGAATTCTAATTTAAGTAATACACTAAGGCAGAGGTCAATCAATATCAGTGTATTGGTTTTGTATGTAGGTGGATAGTGCTATAGAAAAGGCAAGTTGAAATGTTATTATGTGTTGCCAAAGAATGAAAATACAACCGAAACAAAAAGAAATAATGGATGTCTTTATTGGTTTTGAGGTGTCATCACAAGTTAAGACTATTGGTTCACCAGATAAAGATTTTAAGTTTAGCAGACTTATAAAGTTTCTCCCTAGATTTGTTTTCACCTTATTTGACTGTGTTTAATATGCATATAATTCAAATATTTCCCCACTTAAACACATTATTTTCAAAAAACACAGGCTCTGGTATCTCAACACAATATAAGATGAATCTTATATCATGTTTTGAATTATTTAATATGAAATCTAAAATACAAGTAGCTAGTTGTATATATTTATTTGTTATTAATTTAAATTATAATATCATTTGAATGAAAATATTTTGTTATAATCAAATTCAATAATATTAAAAATATTCATTATGTTTAATGCAATGAATAAAATAATAGCAATGATATTTTAAAGATATTACAATTTGTTAGAACATAAAATAATTGAAGATGAAATTTAAATTTAAATGTAATAATATTTTTATAACTTAAACTTCATCATTATTTTAATTTAAGTTCAATTTCAAATATAGTATCATACTCATAATATCTAGCAACTTAAAATGAAGTCGTAAAAATCAAATATACGGTATAAAATATAATTTATGTAAATTAAAATTATGAATGAAATAAGTTGGTATAATAATTTTATAAATAATGTTTATGCATATATAATTAATAATTAATATGATATCTTTGATAAGAAAATTATCTATACTTAATTTTCCAAATTATATATAAAATCCAAATTAGTGAAGTTAAAAGTGTTTTGAATTTTTTTAACATTCACTGTATATTTTAATATATCTTATATTTTGAATTATAGTTTATATTCATCAATAATTACTCACCTTAGTTTCATTCTCGATTTTAATAAAATTTAAATGTGTAAAAATTTGAACTTTAATTTGATTACCTTATTTATTTTACTTTTTTTAATAACAGAAATCTTTGTGTTTTTTCTTTGTTTGTTTTTAAATCGAAGCTATATAATCAATCTAAGAATTTATACTGTTGCGGGAGAACTATTTAATTAATCTAAGAATTTATTCTGTTGTAGGAGAAAGCTGAAGAAGAAAACCGCTACAGAGGAACCGGATCCTTCTCTTTGGATCATACTGTTATAGTTTTTCACAGAAAAGAGAGAGAGAGAGAGAGAGAGAGAGAGAGAGAGAGAGAGAGAATCTAGAGCGAGAGAGAGAGAAAACGATGAAGATCACAGCGTTGTTGGTGCTTAAATGCACAGGTGAGGGTTCCGATCCCATCATTCTCGCGAACGCTTGCGATGTTAGCCACTTCGGTTACTTCCAACGCCCCAGCGTCAGGGAGTTCATTGTCTTCGTCGGTCGTACCGTCGCCAAACGCACCCCTCAAGGCCAACGCCAATCCGTACAACACGAAGGTCCTTTTCCCTCTGATTTCGTTTCCTAGGGTTTCTCGTTCTTTACCGACTCCGATTGCGCGTTTTGGTTTATTTCCCAGTCATTTTGTTGATCCGCTTTTGGTCTAACATTTTTGCGCCCTTTGCTCCCTTTGAGAATAATGGAAATCGTATTTTTTTTTTTTAATTTGCGATATAGTATAATTGTGTGCTTTGATCTGCTGTGTTTCTTTTGGTTTTTTTTGGAGGATTCGATTTTTTTTCGCCGAATTGTGAATGATTGAAAGCGAGTTTTACTTTTTTGTTTGCAGAGTACAACGTTCACAGCTACAACGTAAATGGTCTTTGCGCGTTGGGATTTATGGATGATCATTACCCGATTCGAAGTGCCTTTTCTCTTCTCAACCAGGTGAGAGTCAGAGCAACGTGTGTCGGTTCAGTGTTTATTGTATTTACGGATTGTTGCTGCTTCCTTTGTTGGGATGAGACATGTTTTTCTTTTATTGGAAAAGTTGGAAGATGTTGTTTATGAGGTTGCATATAACTATGATGCGGATGTTATAATTGTGTAAGGGATTTTGTGTTTTAGTTATTTAATTTGTTGAGATTATCTAGGAAGAGCTGACTTAATAGTAAAAATGCAGGTGGTAGATGAATATCAAAAATCTTTTGGTGAGTCATGGAGATCCGTAAAGGAAGACAATAGTCAACCATGGCCCTATTTGGATGAAGCTCTGACAAAATTCCAGGCATGTAAATTCCTGCATAATAAATTGTTAACATTTGTTTTTTCAGTATAATGAATTAATTTTGCTAACCTTTTTACACCATGACATATGCCTCAAACCCTCTTATATGTTCCTGTCAAATCTTCAGAATCCTGCAGAGGCTGACAAGTTGTTGAAAATCCAGAGAGAGTTAGATGAAACAAAAATCATCCTTGTAAGCATACATTGTTTTATATTTACAAAACAGTATGAGTTTCCTGCATCTTAAGTTACTAAAGTTACTTACGATTTTATTTTGTCTTGTAGTTGTTCAATTTAAACATGACAGTTATATATGCTTGTAAATTTTCAAACTAAACGTTCATTTTGAGAATTTGGCATTGGTTGCCAAATACATTTTGCTTTAGATAACAATACCAATGCCATGCAAGTTAAACATCATTCTAATGATGCCAAATGCAACTAATTTATGCAAATTTATCCCTTTCTAGCATCGTGTATGATACCCTTAATTTTACATTATGTCTGTCTGTGGTGTGGGTCATCAATAATGCTGTTGCTATTTATTAGGAATCCAAATAGGCAAGTTGACTTAGATGCATAGTTAGTGCATCAGAATCACCGGAGGCTCATTTTTGGAAAGTATGAGAGAAAAATAGAGAATCGGGAATGGTGAGGTGTGTGAACGTGGTGGCAGGGAGCGAGATGCAGGTGAACCTGGGCCATGATTAGTTAAGGGAATTTCTGGTTATATTGGACCTTAGGTTGTGAGAGAGGGGTATCTTTTTGGTGATTATAGAGTTTGTTAGAAATGGTGAGCTCTACCTCTCGGTTGGGCACTGGGCTGTGGGTCAGGAGAATCTCAATTCTCTTGTATTTCCTTTTCTGAATACATCAATAATACAGTATTCAGTTTCTATTAATTGTTCTTGAGCTATATTATTCTGTGTATGGTTCGTATCACTATGTTTATTCCAGATTTTTTGCTGTTTCTTATTTATGTGCATTTACTTGGTTATGTTACAATAGGTGGGTAATCTAGATTTGGCCATTCTAGGTGGGTTGAGGGGCTTTGTTAATTTCTTCCTACACAATTGGCTTATTTAGATTCTCTCTGGTTTGTAGATTTCTTTCACCATATGATTTCTTTCTTTTATAAACAGCACAAGACTATTGATAGTGTGCTGGCTAGAGGGGAGAAGCTGGACAGTTTAGTTGAGAAGAGTTCTGATCTGAGTGCTGCGTCGCAGGTACATCTAAACCACTCTTGCTATAGAACTTTACATCTGGGACTAGTACAGCAATGCTTACTTGCAGACGGGCATCTATTATTACGTTTTGGTCTCTAAAGCATTGGTCTATATGGTTATGGTCAGCATTGAGCATCCATGCATGATGAATGTTTTATGTAGCTTTGTGATAAATCTCTTTTCTTGTTGCAAAACTTTTAGACTTTTTGTTTAGACGATCATGCACAATGCATGGATATGATCATGTCTGATAAAATAACATGTTAATTTGGAACTTGTTTTATACAATGCACATGTGCTTTCGCGTCTGCTGCTCATAAGCTGTTATTGGCAATTCAGGATCTGCATTTTTTATCTTAAAACTATTGCCATGCCTGCTTAATGATGATTGAGTGGTATATGTGTGTATCTATACCATTATAATACTCTTTTTATACTGATTTGCTATCATTTTTTAAATAGACTATTTTACTGTTTACGCTATTTTTTATAAGGCTGGGTCCATTATATATACTTTTGTAATTATTTCGATCTTTTCTTTATGGTTATTTATTTGATATTTAATTATTGATAGAAACACCATTTTTGTGCCAAAAGATTTGAGATGTCACATTGGTCCCACAAAGATAGAAAAATCGCCATTTTCATCCTTACTATATTAAAATATCAAGTAATTTCATTTCAGAGTCTTAATTGATGTAAAAATTGTGTTTTTTGGACTTAATCTGAAAATGTCAGCTTGGTGGTTGTTTACTGGGCATGGAATATGATATGTTTAAGTTTTGTTATGTTTGGATCTTCTGTTGGAAGAGAACTTTCTGTTAATCATGAATTTATTATTTTTCCCAGTGGTGTTAATTTACTGACACAAAAATCTGATGTTGGCGTTTGAAACAGATGTTCTACAAACAAGCCAAGAAAACTAATCAGTGTTGTACTATATTGTAAGCTTTGACGATCAGCGTGCAGTGAGCTCACTTGAATCCTGTTCCGACATGGAGAGTGTTGGATAGGAGAAAATAGCTTCATATGTCTATTACTTTACATTGTTTGGTTGGTGAAATTGTGTGATTTACCCGATATATGTGCTGTCTTCCCGTGTAGACGAAAATTCAAATACGCATTTACCTTGTTGTGTTTACTACGATAATTTATAGTATGCATAAATTATTGTTTTGGTGGAGTCATTCCATGTTAATTTGTTCTTGGAATATTAACACTGTCATGTACCCCCTCCTCGTTCCTGTTTTTTATTTTCCAGAACCTCCATTTCATGATGAGACCCTTCACATTAAATATTCCAACATAGGACTGACTTTTCTTTAATAGATTGTAATTAAAATGGCTGCGATCGTAAAAAGTAAAAAATCATGCAAGTAAATGTTACGTATTAATTAAAGCAAGAATGTTTTTTTGAAAAACAATATCATTAAGTGAATTCATAGTAAATAAATATATTCCTTAAGCGATAAGAACCCAGACCAATTCCTTTTCCGGTCTGGCAACCACTTCCTTAATTAATTGCAATTCAACTTTCAAATCCACTCTAAAAAAACATGCTTTGAATTCTTGAACCTAAGCACGAGTATGCAACATTTGTCACCACACTACCTCTGGACCATGTGCACAACTTGACCTTGTCAAAAGTAAAGTGTACTTGGATTTGCCACCCACAAAATTAATGTTTTCAACTTTTGATCTCTTCAACTTTGTACGGGATTTCCCATGAAATATCATATATGAATTTATCGCTAAGTATTTATTTCTCAAAGTAAGTTTTATTTTATAATTTTTAATCTTCAAAATTTAATCACTATAATTTTTTAATTTAAAAATTATAAGAAAACTTTTTCCTCTTGAAAAAACTAATACGATATAGAATATGAAAATTATATTTATATATAAAATTATCATATCTATGTAATTCATTTTGAATTAGATTTATGACGTATTTTATCATAAATTTTATTGTTTTAAGAATAAAACAAATTTATTGATTAATAAAAGTTATGTGAAAAGACGAAAAATAATAAATAGTGTATTATTAGTTGATACACGTTACAGTCTATTTAAATAATATATTAATGTAATTAGGTATATGTTACAATTCATTTAAAGTCTCTTAAAAGAAATATATTAATTTTTTAAAATATTTTTAAAACAAGAATAAAATTAATAAAAAAAATTAATATAAGCTTAGACTTTATAAACAAGACATACCTAAATAAAATTTATTTAAAAAATTAAAACAATATTTTAAAAAAAATATCACTTGTTTATAAACAAAGAGTGATGATGGTATGCATGAGTGGAGTGGAGCAATAATTTGCTAACCAAAAACGTAGTTGTGCCAATTATTCACCTCCACACGAATTGATTCATCTTTCAACATTTTTCACTTAAAAAACATTTTTCATGCATTTCCATAAGAACATGCGGTTGAAATTTAGGTACCAATGTCCGTCACATTCAATGCTCCAAAATTTATTGTTGTTCAACTCATTATTCCATCAATATTCTAAAAAGAACTACTATGATTGACACTTTCTATGTTTGGAAACAAAAGTTGGTTTATTTTTATTGCTATTGTTTTATGAACATTCTCTATTTTACTGCAATAGAAACGTATTTTAATTATATTATTTTCTCATTTCCTTTATATTTTGTGATTTTACTAACTATATACACAAAGACTAAGACTGAGAATGAAGAAAATTAACTCTATATTTGCCTTTTATGACAAAATATATTTTGCAAATAATTAATTATAAATAATGATATAAAATCTGTGGTCCAGCTACCTTATACTGTTCTAGTTTTTCCAGAAAAACGAGAGAAACGATTTTTTTTTATTTAATTTTAATGTTAAAAAGATTACAAAACATTTCCAAAGGGCATAAACCATATCAGTCCGACTCCATTTAGAAAATTATAATAGAATCAATACCTGCCCTTTCAAGAAACGAATAATTGATTTAGGAGATTTAGAATTAATAATTGTTACAGTTTACATTCATAAATTCCTGTCTATAAGTTTTTTTTTCTTTTTAAAAATATATATTTATTTAAATTAAATAGTAAGAAATTTTTATTATATTTTTAAATAAAAAAATATTATATTATTATTTTAATTTATGTAATTAAGATGAAAATATTGTTAATATTTAATATTTATATTATATTTTTATATTATACTTCTTATTTTATATAAATTAATAAAATAGTGTGAAAATTATAATTGTTAAAAAACAATCCGGTCAATTTTACGAGTTCTTTAACTTATATTTTAAAATAAATCATAATTTTTAGTTTAATTTGATCCTATATTAAATTAATAGACTAATTGATCAATTTTTATCTTATTAAAAAATTTAAAATATATTTAAATAAAATTAAATAATAAAAATGTGTTTTTAAAATTTAAATTATACTAATGAAATTAGAATTTATTTAATAATTTAATATATAAATTATAAGAGAATATCCATTCATTTAAACAATTAAGAGTTAAAAATTTATTCTTTATTATTATTTTTATTTTTTAATAATTTATTTATTTTGAAATAATAATTAATTTTAATAATTAGATCTTAAAATAAGTAATTATTAAAAATTTATTTTTATATTTATTTTTATAATAAGTTAATTTCTTATCAAATTAATTTATAATATATATATTTTTTAATAAAATAATATTATTTTAATATTTATTTTAAAAATAATTATTATTTTATAAAATAAATCAATATATAAATTTATGGATTAACTTAACCTCGATTTGTAGAAAGTTCATTCAATTTAGATTAGTATGGAAATTTTAGAATAACCCAACTTATTTTAACATCCTACCATATATCTCTATTATAAAAAATATATATTCAGAATATAACTTCCAACACTTTTAATCCATATCAATATTCTTGAAGGATAAAATTATGAAAAACTATAATTTTAAAATAAAATATGTCATAATTTTGAAAGCAAACTATAATTTAATTATTGAACACAATAATAGTTCTGTTTTATTATTAACATGATGTTCTTTACCTATTAAAGTATATTTAAAAAAAATATCATTATTAATATAATCTCAAAACGTACAATAATTAAATATAATTTATAATCATGATTAAAATTTGAAAACGATCAATAATATAATAATTTTTGAATTTTGTAATGATTAAGGCTAATAATATTAAATTCGATGTGAAAATATCTTTGAAGAGAAACATTAATAAATATTTATATTTTGAATATTAACAAGATAATTATTTCAGTGATATTGATGTACTCAAAATTTTAAATTTGGATGCTTGAAGCCCAGTTTTTGAATTTGCAGACTTAGAGTGTTGTATGTACATAACATAACCACCTTCTTCGCTTTAAGAAGGAACAATGGGCGTGATCTGGGAAGCAATAAATTTTGGGTGTGATAAGCAACTTAAATGCTTTCTCCTCACATTTCTCTTACTCCACCATCATCATAAGTATTGATTTTGTTTGATTTAAAATTAAAAATAAAATAAACATATAATTTTTATATTCAATTTGATTAATTCCAAACTAAATCACACGGTGCGTTTTCACAATTTTCACGTGTACATGTAATGTACCCCACGTAACGATAACGCATGAAGCTTATATTAATGTCTGCTCATCCTCTTTCTCTCCCACACTCATTCTCAGTCAGACCTCCATGGCTACTCCCGTCTTTCTTTCTGCTTCTCTCCTCGTCTCCGTCATCCTTCTCTTAGTCATTTCTTCCAACAGGTGCTCTGCGTTGGAACACGGGATTTCCTATGCAAATGTCACCGTCCTCAACGTGTTCCCTCACGATCCACAAGCCTTCACTCAGGTTATCAATTTTTCTCCTCTTCTTTTTATTCCATTGTTTGAGTTAGTTCTGTACAATCTCATTCTTCAAAGTCGTCATAACTTCCATAATTCTTTAAAAGGACTCACAAAAATGGTTATTAAAATATAGCATTGGAGTTTTTTTTAAAGAGAGAAGAATTAACGTGAATAGACGTCTCTTTTGGTAAGTAAAGAAGGTTAAATAGTAAATTTAATCCTTTCATTTTAATTTTTTTAAGTTTTAACGTGTCTCAAAATTTTTAAATTCTTTTATTTAGACATGAATATTGAAATTGATATCAATTTTAGACTATTGTTATTTATGATTTAACTCCATTATATTATATGTCTAATTGGAGTATAAGATATGATTAGGTGATTGGTTATAGTTACGTGGCAGATTTGTCACGTCACATTAAAATTGCATGAATAAAGGAATATGGTAGCTTACTTTCTTGGTTTGATTCCTTCTTCGTCTCTGCCTCTCTTGTCAATGTTGTTCCTTCGTCATCGTAATGGGTCGCAGATAGTCCCTCCCGCGTGCTCGACTTTGCCGTTGTCGTAGGACCTCCTTCCCTCATCGTCGAATATAACTTGCTCCCTCAATATCGTCATCGCAAACCCTAAATGGAACCAACCTCCTCCTCTTTCGTCACAGTCAATCTCACACACAATGAACGATGATTGGAATCCTAACCCCCATGTCGTTGCAAATCATCTCACTTTCTCTCACCCATTTACACAAACTCTGAATTGTTCAAACCCTAAATTCATCTGCGACCTTATCTCTTTTTTCTGCAATTTTGATGTGACATGACAAATCTGCCACGTAACTATAACAATCATCTAATCACATCAGAACTGATACTCTAACTAGGCATCTAATATAACGAAATAAAAACATACATAACGGTAGTCCAAAATTGACATCAATTTCAATATTCATGTCTAAATTGAAAATTTTAAAAATTTTGGGAACACATTGAAACATTTTAATAAATAAAGGGACTAAATTACATATTTAACCACTAAAGAATGATAGTATTTCCAAGGGACTTTGTAATTTAACTCATAAGGAATTTCAACCCAAATATTAAGATTTCGAGTTATTTCTTTTTTATACATAGTTTAACTATTTTCACCACAAAAATCATCGACACTATGCGTTTTTTTTAGGAAATTTACGAAGAAAAGATAACATTAATAATGTTGAGTTATAAATATTTCTTTTTATATATTATAACTTTCTCATTCTTAGCCAATGTAAAACTTAGATTTCGATAAAGATCATGCTAAAGTTAATGATTTTAACAAGTTTTTAGCATTTTTTTAGGGAAAAGTTAGTTTAATTTTATCTATGTTTTTTTTCTAAATATTTTATCTATTTTAAAATATATTTTTTAAAATTGTTTTTTTAATATATAATGTTTATAAATTTTACGATAGTATTAATTATTAAAAAAATAATTATATGTATATCTTTTATCGATTATATATGTCTCTTAATTATATTTTTATTAAAAGAATAATGAATTAAAGATATTAACAAAAAAACTAAAAATTTATTAAAAATAATAAAAATTAATATGTATCTTAATATGTAATTTAATCTTAAACTTCTTATATTTTAAAAGTTTGTTTTTTTCATCTCAGGGAGTAGTTTTAATAATAACTTGTACGTTTTGGTATGCAGTAAATAATGTGGAAAAAAAGGAGAGAAAAGGCATAAAATTAATTCATTTGGTAGAGAAGCATATTTAAAATATAGAATAAACATGATACAAGTTTTACGATTATGTGAAAATTAATTTTATAAATAATATATTTGTTTTTAAAAAAATTACTTATAAATAATCTTTATTAATTTATTATTGTCTGTATATAAATTTTCTTTTTTCTCCTAATAGTTTATTTATGGATTTTTCTCTTTTCTATCTCATCCTATTTACTCCCTTTTTGTTGTTTTTTTAACTCAATTTTTTTTCTCATCTCCTATTTATTTATTTTTAATTAAAACTACTTAAATAAAATTTCATAAAAACATGTTAAAATATTTTTTAAAATTAATATTAAAATTAAAAAAATATCAACTAATTATTTCAAATTATGATAAATGTAAATAATTTTATTTATTATGATAATAAATAATTTATTTACGATAATATAAATAATTAATTTAAAATTACTTATCATAATAAATTAATTATTTATCTAATTAAAAATATTAAATATGAATGAGTTAAATATATTTTTATCTAGTAATTTAATCTGAGTTATGGTATTTAGTCTTATTATGTAATTTTAAAAAATATTTATTTAAAATAATTAAAATAAATATTAAATTTTTTCTTAAAAATTATAATATCATAATGATATTTTTAGTATGCCAAAGTTATCATATTTTTTCTCAAGTATAATATATTAAAATATAATATTTTTGGATAATCTAAATATTTTTAATTTTTAAAAATAATAAAAGATCTATTTTATCAAATTTTAATACGATATTTTTAATTAAAATAATAAGATGAAGTAAGAAAAAGAAAAAGAAAATCAAGAGATAGATAAGAACAAAGAAAAAAATATATAAAATAACAAGAAAAAAGAGAAAAATAATTATATTATATTAAATAAATTAATTTTTTTATTATTGAACTTTGTATACTAATAATAAACTGAACTATTTTAATTAATAAACTTATAAATATTTTATTTAAGAAAATTTTCATTTTAAATATATTATTTATTAGAATGATTTGCGTTGAATATTCACTTTTTTTCAGTGAAAAAAATGATAAAAGAATATTCGTTTTTTTTTCTCTTTTTTATTCGAAACTAAACTGCTCTAAAATTTTAATTTCACATTATTTTACTTTTATTTCTCGTAAAGCAAACAACTCGTTTAATAAATTGAAATTGAGATGCGTTAAAAATAGAAAGTTTTCTTTTCATATTTGATAAGTTTTTTTATCAGTTTTTAGCTTTTTTATATAGTTTTATTAGTATTATATATTAAGAAAATATAATTCCCTCTAAAATAATTTTAAAAACTAATATATGTTCGTTTTTGCAAAGAAATTAGAGAGAGAAAAAAGAGAGAGGACTAAAAACACAAAATTAATTTGTTTAGTAGGGAAATATTAAAAAAACAAAAAAAAAGTGTCGTAAAATATTTTTATAATATGAGACAAAATAATCTATTTTCATTCTTTCTATCTTATTCAATAATTGTTGGGTCTTTTTAAAAAATTAATAATAGAAAGATCTCATAAATAGAACTTGAGTTAATCATATAAAAAAAATGTAATATTATCTTTAATTTAAAATTTTAAAATATTATTTATGGATAAAAGAATAATTTAATTAAAAATTTATTTATTTTAAAATTAAACATAAAATGTTATTTTGACCCTTTTTTTATTTTTAAATTAAACAACTTAAATTGAGAATAAGTTATTAATAAATATAAAATTTTCATATGTATGCTGGGTATTTTTTTAGTTTTTTTAATATATATATATATATATATATATATATATAATATAATATAAAAAATTGATAACTAATTTTAATAACTTACATGCTATAAAAAATCATGTTAGAAAAGAATAATTGGAGATGAGAGAAAATAACGGTATTAAAATGGATAAACTCGTCACATTTGGTCTTTTTGTCTCTGATCCGATAAAATCGGATAAAACAAGTTTATTTACCCATAATCAAAACTGATTATAAAACTTAACCTATTTTGTCATAGACTAACGACCAGTGATATATATATTTTATTAGATAAATTTAAAAAAATCATTAAAATATTTAATTATAATCAATAATCTAAGTTTAATAAATTAATATTTATTATTTAAATTATAATATTACAATTTATTTGTATATTTGAATATAATAATTTTAATTATATATATTTTATTATAAATAAAAATATATGTTACAAACAAATGAACAGGTGATCTATCCTTGGCTTTTCTGTTGATGGGTTAAATGGGATAGTGTAAAACAATTTCACAAACTAACTCTATCAATTTCATGTGCACGTTTAGGTAGAATAATAGATCACCCTTTTAATTTAACCCATTTTGTAATAGAAAATGACAAAATTAATTTATTTGGTAAGTGAATATATAAAAAGTGTTGAAATCTATAAGTTAACTTTGTAAAATTAAATTAAATATTATTTTTAATATAATATTAAAGTGTCTCTGAATGTTAAAATTTGGGCGTGTCTTGATGGAGAAGTTTGTTTATTTATTTATTAAAGAAGACAAATTAAACATTCTATTTTAATTTTTTTTATCTTTACCAATAAGAGACTTTTATTTTATTTTTTATTAGTGTAAGATATTTTTCTTACCAATAAGAAGTCAAAATGATTCGTGTTGCAAAATAAAAAGTTTTGATTGCGTATATTTGATGAGTATTTTCATCAACTTTTTAGTTTCTAGTTTTTCAAAGCGAAATATTTTTAATCTTATTAAAAAAATTAATAACTTACATAATTTGCTAAAAAGAACGGAATATTAAATATTAAATAAAAATGGAGGTTACATGAAAGAAACTTTTTATTTTAAATTAGATGAAATAAACATTATACTTTCGCTTTTTCTATCTTACCCAATATTTATTAAATAACATTTAAAAAAAAAAGACGAGCAAAAGGATAAAATTAGTAAAAAATAGTTTGTTGGGTGGATAAATATTTAAAAACACAAATGAAATTTACGTGGAAGAAATTTGTATGAGAAATGAGACAAATAAGCATTCTATTCATACATTTTCTATCCTACTGAAAAACAAGAAAAAGATAATGTAAGTGTATAAGATTTTTTTTAATTATTTTTTTTCTAAAACTTAATAATCTTAAAATTTTATTTTCATTTTTTTTTAATTTTTCGTGAACCAAGCAACCTAAACTTAGAATGAATTGTGTTGACAGATAGAATGTTTTTATTGTCTGCGTTTAACGATTATTATTGCTTGTAGTATTTTTAAAGCTAAAGTATTTTCAATTTGTCCTTACCCCCATAACAAGCAAAAGTGTAAAACAAATTACATTTTATTATGCCGTATTCTTGGAATCGGGTAGGTATAATTAAATATTTTTTTCAGAGAAATAAAAATTTTAATGGAAAAAGAAGAAACTCAGAATTAAATATATTGTAGAAATCATGTAATTATTCTATTAAAAGTTAAAAGATTGTAGCCTTTTTTAAAAGGACTTTTGAAGGGATTTTTTAATCTAAGTTCCTTAAGGCCAACTTGTAGGTTCAGAGGGTTTCTAGTGAAATCTGAAAAGAAAATCTTTTGTTTGTGCTAAATATGAAATGGTGTAAAATAAATAAATAAAAATTCAAAATTTAGTGTTGGATGAGAGAACTTTCTTGGATACTCTAACATAAAAGTCTTCAAATAATGTGTGACTATTGGCTTTATTATGTTGAGGAGAGAGTTTATGTTTTTTATTATTAATTATGAAATGCCAAAATGTTTATTTAAACATTGTTTGATTTGACACTAACCAACGAGAAAATGGTTTTGTTTCTTTTTATTTATTTATTTCAGGGTCTTCTTTATTATGGAAATGGCACCTTATTTGAGTCAACTGGTCTTTATGGGCAGGTAAAATTGTTCATCTTTTTTTTCCCTATTTTTAATTGATTTTTATTACTCTTTCTATTTTAAAATATACTTGTTGAGAAAATTGTTTTTAAATATATATTATTTGCAAAATTGAAGACTGTATTAATTATCTTGTTATCAATGATTTTTTTAAATAGTGTTTTAAAATTAGAAATGATCATTAATTTTAAAACAATGAAAATCGATTTTTCGAAACATAAAATAATTAAAGTGTATCTTAAAAACAAGATAACAGAGAAAAACTGTAATTTATCATTTTTTTAACAAGGAATAATTATGCCTTTTTCTTTGAAACTAATTATAAAGGTTAGGGATTTATTTATTGTATTAATATAATAGGGTTGAAAATTCAAGTTCGATCAGTTTCACGTTATATAGAAATAAAAAAAAAAGTTGAATAATAAATGAAATACATAAGTTTATTATTACGTGAATTTTATTAAAAACAATAAAGTTGAATAATAAAAAAAATATGAATTTATTATTTTGTGATTTTTAATTAAAGATAATATTGCATTTAAACTTCATTATTTTTTGTTTCAGTCATCTGTTCGTAGAGTTGCTCTTCTTACTGGGAAGGTACAAACGTATTCACTTCTTAAACTCTTCCATGCACTTCTTCTAATTCTTAGTTCATTTGAATTTCCAATTACTCTCTATTTTTAAGTTAAACGATGATGTAAAAAATTTTGTGTAAAGAGGGAAATTTTTATATAGAAGGTTTTTGTTCTTAATTTTTCTAATCACCAATATGATCTTAATGTGTTTGTAGAAAGCAACACGGGATTCTTTATTAGTTTACATTTCCTATTATAATCTATTGCTCCATCAAAATTTATATATTTGTTTGATTGATAATTGGACACTGTTAAATTGTAGATTTTCTAATTATTTGTTCCACATGCAGGTTGAAAATATTCATAAGATGGACAGTACATTATTTGGGGAAGGTTTAACTCTCCTCAACAATAGGTGTGAAAGATAAATTATGTTGCATTTTGTTTTTGTTTTTTATGTATTATACTGAACAAGGGCTCTATATATTTCAATGTACAACTGTACATTTTCTTAAGTTTTATCCATTACACTTTATGTAGGTTGTATCAGATAACTTGGTTGCAGACAGATGGTTTCATATATGATCCTGAAAATTTAAACCAAGTTAGTTGCATTACCTTCCATTTCAATTGTCTTGTTCATGGTTTAAGTAATTGATTCTGATTCAATGAACAATGTTTTCCTATGGCGTTCCACATGCAATTGCAGAAACCAGCCTTGTTTTTGTTGTTTAATACTTCTTTTTAGAGGCTAACATAGCAAGTCAAATCTCAAACACCTTACTTTTACCATCTGTATAGACTGGAACATTTAACCATGACATGAATGATGGTTGGGGTTTGGCAACTGATGGAAAAGTCTTTTTTGGAACTGATGGCAGTTCAACATTGTACCAAATTGATCCTCAAACATTTAAAGGTTTGTACCAAATGAAGTTCCATTCCTTTTCTTTCACTTCATGCAAACCCTTTTCCCAAACTTTTTGTCTTTGATCTTGATTTCAATGGAGTTTACATTGCCTTATTTGTTGTAGCTGTTTCAAAACATGTTGTCTACTATAAGGGTCATCAAGTATACAATCTCAATGAACTGGAATACATAAATGGTGAAGTTTGGGCAAATGTTTTACCGGTACGTAAAATGGTGTATTTAATTATAGTTTTAATTGAACAAAATAAATTTCTTCTTCAAAAATGTAAAATGCATATGTTAAAGTTATATAATTAAATGAGATTTGTTTGAGACTGAATTTTTTTCTTTTGTGCAGACTGACTGCATTGTAAGAATCTCTCCTAATGATGGAAGTATTGTTGGATGGATTCTCCTTCAACATTTAAGGTAGTTGTTTTTTAAAATGTTGAAGATACATTTGTTTATACATAAAATAAGTGAATATTAAAACAAAAATAATTTATTTAAGAAGTAAACAAGAGCTTTTTAATAAAATAAAATAAAAATTATTTTCTGTCATCTCATTACATCAACTTTGAGCTAGGAAATGGTAACTTTGAGATTATTTTGATGCCAAAATTATCATTCAAAGACCACGAGGATTTGGAGGATCAAATTGAGGATTTTCTCTGATTAATAATCATCATCATCATCTTTATCCATTTTCATATGCAGGAAAGAACTTGTAGAAGCTGGGGAGATCAAAGTAAGGATTTGAGTATTTTGATATGAAGTGATTATGAATCTGTCATTTCCTTTTTGAAAGCAAGTATGCATTAAAATTTGTTGTTGCACTTGTGTGTCTGAATGTTTTATATTTTAGGAGAATGATATTTTGAATGGGATAGCATGGGATGAAGAGCAGAAGCGTATTTTTGGTAAGTTCTGGTCTAATTATTAAATTCCTGATTTGAAATTTGTTATGATATATCATATGTGATGATAACACAAGGATTTAAAATTCATTGAGTTACAACATTGATTTGATGTATATACAAGGGTTTAAATCCATTAAATCTTTAAAATTAACTCATATTTTTATTAATTTCAATAAACAGATTTTAAAAACATTTATTATAACGGAAAGTTAAGTTAGTGTTGTTGGATTTTGTCCTGTTAAACATAAACGTGGAAGAAAGTTTATGTAACATTGTTTTGCTTGCAGTGACTGGAAAACTGTGGCCAAAGCTATATGAAATAAAGGTTTCAGCTATAAAGACTCCAATTGAAGAAGAGACCATTCAGCAACTATGTTTGCCTGAGCCATATTATCCACCAGCCAGAGCTGATGCTCAGTAACAAAATATGGACTTAAATAAACCCAAAACCAAGAGGCACTTTATCTTGGGTTTAAAATAATGTAATTAGGTTTTTCTTTTCTTAAAAGAATAATGATATATTAATAATTGGACGTGGAATATTTATCCATTGATATTAATAAATTATTGATTACATATATATATTTCGTAGTTATCCATCATTGTAATTGTGATGTTTATATATGAAACACATATTCTCATTCTCATTGTTCTATTTTAAATAAATCTCTTATTAATGTGATCATTAAAATGTCGTCAACTTTGGTATTTCAAAAATGATATCATTCTTTATTGTTTTTCTTTTTTCTTTTAATCTTCATCATATTTTCTTGCCACTAGGGTTGAAAACAGATTAGCCTACTGTTTATTAAAAGTTTAAAGCTTTTAAAATATATTTTTTAACTAAAATATGTTCTTGATTATCACTATGACCATTCATAAGAGTTAGTTTATTACTTAAACAAAATACAACTGAAATAATTCTCTCTTCTTTTTACCATTTTTTTTCTTAAGCGCTCATTTTTCTTTGTTCAAAATTCTTATCATGTTAATTTTTATCCATTTGTAAGAATTTTTTTTATAAAACAAAACAAAAATTTTAAACAATACTCAAAATTTTAAAACATAACATTTATTTAATTTTATCTTTATTTTCACCATTAATATTTTGAATGGTAAAAATGAAAAAAAATGTTACATTGAATCAAAATTTTTCTAAACTTTCTCTTTTTTAGTATAAAAATTAATAAACTATCATTTTAATATTATTATTTTTCCATAATAGTGTGTATAGTAATAAAATTAGATAATTAATGGTTAAAATAATGAATCAAATTATTTTTTATTCAATTATTGTCTGATATTTGTGAATAGAAGGATTTCTCATTTGAGAATAGTATAAAATGTATTATTAATATTTAAAAATTTAGTTCATCAGTCCAAATTATGAAATTTAAACATATGAACGTTTATGTTGATGTAAATAGGAAAAAAAATTAACTAAACTATTCTTAAATATTGTGCACTTATGACTTAATTTTTTTTTATTGAATAACTACTCAAATTAAAAAATTAAATATTTGAACACCTTTTTTTCTTTATAGATTATATATCACTTTTTTTTCACTTTTTTTTCGTTAATTATATTTTCTTGCTTTTATACTAAGAATTAAAATTTATCTCATAAGAATAAATTAAAACTAAAATTATAAATTTTCTAATTTGATTAAAACTCTTAATTAAATGATAATGAACTCTTTAACTTTAGGTTCTTTTGAAAAAAAAATGATTTTCTTCTAACAGCATCATTTTCTGTTTTTCTTTTTTGTCACAATCTCATAACAATCATATTCAATCTCTTCAATCAACCACTTTGCTATTCCTCACTACTGCAGAAAAGGCTTTTTACGTCGGTCAAAATGGGCTTTCTACGTCGGTTAAAGCGGCGACATAGATACAGGGGTCATAGAAAGTAAGTCTTTCTACGTCGGTTAGTCAGGGAACCGACGTAGAAAGACTTACTTTCTATGAGCTATCATAATCGGTCATAACTGATTCTGACCTGTCATATTACTTTCTATGTCGGTTAACACTGATAACCGACGTAGAAAGGCTTACTTTCTATGAGCTATTCTGATCGATCATAACTGGTTCTGATCGGTCATAGGGTATTCTGATCGATCATAACTAATTCTGACCTGTCATATTACTTTCTATGTCGGTTAACACTGATAACCGACATAGAAAGTCTTACTTTCTAACTTTCTATAACCCCAGTATCTATATCGGTTAACAGTAACCATGATTGTATGTGTTATCCAGTGGCGGATCTTGACCATTGATCTTGGGGGGGCCAAATAATATATTATTAATAAGTAATAAATAAATATAAAAGGAAGAAAGAACATGAAAGGTTGAAAAGATAAAATTGTAGATATATACTTAAATATATTAAATGATCATTAGGTTTGAGGGAAACAAAGAGAGTTATAAAACTGAGGAGGGGCTGGGAGGATAAAATTGTAAATATACAAGTAAATATATTAAATGTTCATTATGTTTGGGGAGGCCAAAATCATAAATTACATGAGAGTTACAAAACTTTGGAAGAAGATCCGCCACTGGTGTTATCAATGTCGGTTATGCCTATAACCGACATAAAATGTTAAACTTTCTACGTCGGTTATGTCCTTAACCGACGTAGAAAGTACTTTCTACGTCGGGTAATGACATAACCGACGTAGAAAGTGTTATTTTTTAAAAAAAAATCTGCATTTTCTTCATAGATGTTACCTTTTTTCGAGTAGACCTGCCTATTCATCATAGTTCCAGACAAATATTCACAGATCCAAACCCTTGTACAGACAGATATGCACAGTTCATATATAGTTCCAGACAAATATGTACATATGAAACATATTGAAATCAATATATGTACCTCAGTTCCAGACAGTTCATTTACTTAAACGAATGTAAATTTGCTAACTTAAATCAATTCAATCATAATTGTTACAAGTCAAATTTCCTATGAAGATTGAATACTTAGCAGGAAAGAAGCCCACTGCTCTCTAATATCGTCTAACACTTCAATCTTCATTGGAGATGAGTCTGTAAATGCCTACATATTGAAACATTTCAGATTTAGAAACCATTTACATAATTGGCATATTTGAATTAATTATAGTATATTTACCTCCCTCCATGAGCCCATAATATTTTTGGCTACGATGGTGTGCATGTGCTTCATCACATAATACCCGCACTCATGACTTCCCGGTTGGCGTGGACACTACAAGTTAAATACATGTTAGTTTAACTTTAAATGACAAATTGAACAACAATAAGAGGTGTTTGGTCACCTTTGGTGCAATATACGTCAACTTCTTTCTAGCATGAGATGGAAGGCCTTGCAACCTTAGGTGAGCTTCCAAAGCTCTACAAAAGGACAAATAATTTTGGTGTAAGTGCTCATATGATACAACAATTAAAAAATCAATTAAAAAAACCAAACTTACGCGTCTATGTGCTTTCTAATATCCAAATCATTTGGTTTCTTGTGTAATGAACACAAGAGAATCATAACAAATTGCCGAGGAACAATGATTATGAGCTGCCAATGACCCCTGCACGTTGAAATAATATTAGTAAAATTTCAGTTTTACATAAATGTTTATTAATTTATAAGATGTATACTTACTGATGCAAGTAAGGTGCTAAGTAGACTTCTTTGCCCCCATTTTGAAATGTCTCTATTAAGTACGTTTGCACCTCTTCGACTTTATTCCCAATGGACTCGAATGACAACAGGGTCAACAAATCCATAGATAAAGGCAATCTTCCTCTCAACACACAAACGATGTAAATACCTTCAACATTGAAAATAAATAAAGTTATAAAATAATGTACCAGTGAGAATATAAAAAATATGTAAATATACTTACAATTCCCAAAGTTGCAACACCGATACACATAGCATATCGAGTACCAGTGAGAAGATAAAAAATATCCCTTTGGAGTAAGAAAAAAGGGATCGTCCGGGTCCTGCATACGACTTCGGGTGGCATATCTAATTGTATGGGAGTGGTCCCGATAGTCGCTGCTAGTGCACCGAGTCGCTGTAAGCGATCGGTGGTGGTGGTGATTCATGCACAACTTCCTTTGCTTTTTCAACCTCTTTCTATACAAGTACCAAAAATAAACAACATTAATATACATCAACCTATCAAAAAATAATAAGTAAAAGGGATAAATGCATGACACAACCTGTGAATGTGTTGGGATGGGTCTTGTTAATGAAACCGGCCATAAGATAAAATTTCCAGTGTACTGTCCCATCTGTTTGAACCTCTTCGGTGGGAACCGGATTAGGGCAAGCAGCATCCTGGACATCTACAACCACCACTCTTATCATATCATGTCCAATACTCCGGTGGTGGATGGTTGACCCCAATGCATACATTTTCCCTAAGGTAAACAAATGATAAAATATTTTAGACTATATAATGCTTAACGAGTGTACCAAATACATGTCAAAGATATAATACGTACCGTATGCCACCAAATGCTCGGGAGGACCCGCAACATACAACTCACGATCAGCGAGTGTCGGTAGGAGCAACCTCTCGCCCTCTATCGGGAGCATCACAACTCTCCTTTATGCCGACATGAATCGGGGATGCCTCTCGGGCGGGGACGGAAGGTTGAGAGGACAAAGATGCCAACTCGCTCGCATTGAGCTCAATAACTCGCCTTCAAGTCGAGTACACCTCATCTCGAATCTCCTTCCTAATTTGTTGTTTGAGGGACTCAAACTCCAACTCACTCAGCTGCCTCAAAGTAGGAGTTGCAACGGGTGGGGCACCAAAGTACTGTCTGATGCCCACCCCTCGTCCAGCAGCACGAACACGTCCAGGATGCTCTGGGGTACCAATGGCCACTGCCAATATATCCTGACGGCCATGTGGGTGGAATGATCCCCGAGTGCTCTGCTTCAACCAACTCATCCCACAACACAAAGGAAGGATTTTTAGCAAATACATATGCTTATTGTAGCAAATATATAATTAGTTTAGGATATGCTACTTACAATACGTTGAGCTACAACATTAGTTTGCTCGGATAAGTAATTCCCCGATGAGTTCCGGCGAGCTCTCTTCCATTTATCATGGCGTGAAGGGCGAGTGACAGCACTCACAACCGACTCATCTCGAAGGATGACTTGAAGATGTCTCCTTCATCATCTTCTCCTCCAATTTCTCATAACCCCCACGAGACAACTCGTGGGGGTGGATATTCTTTCTCCGAATATCATGTGCCTTCGCCGCTTGGCCTTGTTGCATTCCATGTTAAATACCAGATTTAAAACCTCTATTTAAAAAAATGACCGCAAACAAATGACAAATGTGCTAACCTGAAACTTAGCGTCTAAACGCCGAGTCCGAAATGTCTGCCATGTCTCCTCATCCAAAACTCGATACCGAT